TTAGGGTTCCATAGCTTCGGATTTAGGGCTTGAGGGTTTGGGTTTAGGGTGTAGGGGTTTGAGAGTTTGAGGGTTTCGGTGTGTCGTTTTTGGGACTTGGCTTGTCTGCGGGCTTCAGGTTTATGTACACCGCTTACCCCCAACTCAACACCCTAAACCCTACTTACGTTCTTCATTGTCGTTCCTTTTCAGAGTTTACTGTGTGGCATCCTAAGTATGGTAACAGGCTAAACCATAAGAAGGAGCTTCAAGGGAGACAACCCTAAACCTTGAATCCTACCTGAGGTGGCGTTCTGCAAGGTGCTGGAAAGCAAGATCTCGGAGCACGCATTGTTTTTGTTTGCTACTGGCTGGCTCCTAAGTCGCACATCGGACGGTTGTCAAAACTCGGGTTTAGGGAAAAAAGTTTCGGGATAGGGTGCCGTATTAAGAGTAGAATTATACAAGGTTCCCCAAAAGGGACCACGATTTTGACAGCAACCCGCATGGTAGCTTGGTGTTTTGTCTTGCCTTTGAAGCCAGGGGTTCGATATGAAACCGTGGAGTCCACTTAAGCCCCTACAAAGCCCTTCATGTCTCATAGATCAAAAGATCCGAGTTTGAGGGCCCTGATGCTTAGACGAGGGTTTTGGGGTATGATACTACCGGATCCTTCTTAGGGCAGCAATTCTGGGTGGTTGGCATGGCCAACTGCCTAGTGTGGCCTTGGACGGCAACGTGGCATGTCGGCATTTTATTTTTATGATTTCTACAGCTAGCACTCTGGTAACGCTCAGTTAGCACTACTGTCAATACTGCCGAAATGCTGCAACAAACCAGCATTCCCCCCTCCCATCATTCAGAGCAATAAAGCTGGTTTTTTCTTGCTTCTTTAATGCACAAAATCAACAAACTCATGTTTTTGCAGCATTTCGGCAGTGTTCACTGTCGTGTTAACTGTAGTGTGAACTGAATGTTAACTGAGTGTTGGCTGACAGGAAGATGCAAGCCTAGCTTGTTAGCCAATCGCAAAGGAAATCGAGCCTGGGTTTAGGGTTTAGGGTTTAGGGTTTAGGGCTCGCCAGAGCATTGGGAAGGCCAACGGCCTTTACAAGCCCGCCTTTCCAAAAGCACCTCCGCTCATAGAAGCTTCCCCACACCTCGATTTGACGATGTTGACGGGTGCCGTAGTGCGGCTACATAGGAACTTTAATGGACAATTGCTAATGCTGATTATTCAGACATCTGTATATTCAGCCTACACCCTGAAGCCCGAATGGCCGGAATTGGAGCCAGAACTTCGACAGCCCTTGTTTTTCTCATAGAGTATTGGGAAGCCTTGATAAGTGATGTGTAACTGAAGCAGATTGCACTCTACAACCCCCCATACCTTCTTTCTGAAAGCCCCATAATTTAAGGGAGTATACGCCCTAACTCCTAGAGGACTGCACAGAGAACCCTACTCTTTCATACCCGTAAAGCCTAAACCCCAAACCCCAATTGCAAGGAAGTACCCCCTTTCGACTCTAGAGCCCATCAAAGGAACCCCCTAAACCCTAAAACCTTAAAACCTAGACCCTAAACCCTAAACCCCAAACCCTAAACCCTAAACCCCCAACCCTAAACCCTAAACCCGAGGTTGGCGTTCCCCTTGGGGTGGCCATGGCTTTTGGTGCTTTTGGCCTTCCCCGCCTGGGACTCCCTGGCCTTTGGATTGGAATGAGCCTGACACGCATTTAGGAGTTTCATTCGGGTTTAGGGTTGAGGAGTTTCGAGAAGTTTAGGGTTAAGATGGGGCATGACTACCATGTAGGCCCTGCTTTCTGAGAATCTCGTTTGAAGTATGCAGTAGAGACTGATTAAAGGTTTTGAGGGCTTCAGGATACAAAGGTTTTGGTTATGCAGGTGTCAAGTTTAAAGATATTGTTTTTTTTGTGGGGTGTAAGGCTCCAGGGTTAGGGAGTTGGAGGGGTGGGTGGCTAACAGCACCGCTAGAAGAACGGCAAGCAAAAAAGCATCATAGTCACAGATATCGTACAGGCCTGGGTAATCACCAATCCCATTCGGTGCTGTTCCTACCTTAATACTACGGAAAAAGGTAGTAAACTATGCCCGCCCCAAGGGGGTCATATGCCGACCCTACAGCCGACTCTACAAAACGAGCGTTCTGGGTTCCCGGCATTCCAAAAATCCTTCCAGCCAGGATCGTGGCTGTTTGTGGCCACGTCCTGCTCTTTTCAATTGCTGTGGCGCACCTGAACTGGGAGGGCATTGCGGAGCAGGCCAGCAGAGACTGCAAACTCCCCCACTTGCAGGATTATCATATCAAGGATCCCCCTATAATCCCCTAAACCCTAAACCCTAAACCTTATTGGGCAATTGAGGGGTTTTGCGTCTCTGGGACTACCAGGAGTAGAATACATAGTACGGCCCAGCCTCCGGCTCAAAATTACGCAAGAGCTTGACGTAGCAACAGAGTATACATGTTCCTGGCGGTTTAGGGTTTAGGGTTTAGGGTTTAGGGCCGGGGCCCTAAGAAGGTGAAAGGTGAATCTAAGTTTTGAGTATATGAGTCTCTGTGGGAAAAAAAGTGTGGGCGGGTGTATGTGTCGACTCCCAGGATCTAGGGCTAGGGATGCAAGAAGGGGTCTATCATACGGTTGATGACATAAATCCTGCATTACCCACAATAAGGAGTATACCATAATTCCCATAGTTTAGGGTCCTTAAGGTAGTGCAGGGTTTGTGTCATCAACAGTAGCTGGGTAAACAATCTACCCCCAAACCTTGTTCTACTTGTTCAGGCCCCTAGAAAAGCGAGCTTGTGACCCTAAGTAGTAGGTAGAACTCGGTTTGCCAGGGCTGCTAGGGCTCAAGAATCGAGGCTGTGCCATTCAGAGCTACGGTTCAGGATTTAGGCTTGCTTCTAGGGTTTAGGGTTAAGGGGATCTGAACAGGAACAGAGAAGAGTGTAGGGCTCAAGCTGAAACTGGGACTTATGACTTCTTCGCAAAGCCGGCAGAGCCCCGATCTGAAAGTCCGAACACTCCACCATCCTAAGCTCCCGATGCGTTTACCCGTGAACCCACAAACCCTTAAAACCCGCCGCCCCCCCCCCTCAAAACAAAATAGAAAACTAATCACAAAAGCCTGAAGCCGAAGCCCTAAAACCAGAACCCTAAGATCAACTCGCTCTTGCAGCAGCTTGGACATCACAAAACCCTGAAGCCTGCAATCCCCGAACTAAACCTAGACCCTCCATCTACCCTCTATCAGACCCTAAATACCCTTAATTTGGGACCATATACCCCTATTTGAGGGTACTTGGAGGGTCCTGGAAACTAAAATCCCTAAACCCTAAACCCTAAACCCTAAACCCTAAACCCCCTTGTTGCAGGTTTCCGAACGCATCGGGGACAGCGGAGCTCCAGGCGTCAGCTTGATCGACGTCTCGCGCGAGGAGGGCGAGGCATCTTGCCCGGCCCAGACGTCAGCGACATAATATCGCAGCCTGGCAAATTTTAAGGGTTTAGGGTTTATTTAGGGGTTAAGGGTTTAGGTATCTTTAGAGTTCACTCCAACAGTTGTTTTTTATTTGTTAGGCCCCGATATCAACTATGCTTCCACCCTGAGCCACCGCAACCTGTCTTTTTGGTAGCATGTCCATCATTTCCGCTCTTGCGCTGCTGGACAAGATCCTGCATCACCCGTAAGAAAGAACAGACCACAAATTCACTTCACAGCTGAGGGTAGTTAAGTAGTGACCAAATTCCCTAACCCTCCAGGTGCCTACTACTTTAAGGGCCCTTGGGGCTCTTTGACCCTCTATAGTAGGTATCTGCGAAGGATTGTGTCCACCAGCGGCTCTGTTTTCCTGGATCTTCCCGCGTGAGACGCGGGGACCTCCTTTTGAGCCTTGTCCTCCCTCTGCCTTGGGTGGGCTCCGCGGTGCGAAAGAGAAGTGTTTCACGAGTTGAGTAGTTTTCTAAATTAGGGTCCCTTTTAGGGTCCGTTTTATAAGGGTACCGTACCACTTGCGAGAGCAAACACGGGACCTAACGTAGAGAACTACCCTCATGCATCCGACGTCCTTGAGCTCTGTTCGGCTTTGGGGGCTTGAGGGCTTCAGGGTTTATGGGCTATAATAAACCCTGAACCCTCAACCAAAAAAGTCTTAAGTTCTAAACCCCGACGCCAGTCCCTAAATCCCCACGACCCTAACCGCTTAGAGACTCGCAGGTTGGGGTGAGAGTTAATGCGGGGATCTGAATAATTAGAGTAGGGTTTCGGGGTATATTATACCATAGATATAGTAAGGACCTCCCCAAAAAATGTATGGGTAATTATTGAGGCCCCTAAGGGTGAAAACAATTTGTGAGATTTTTACGCAGAGGGTCCATGCAAACTACAATTATGGAGCTGGATAGTGTACATGGACCCTCTATGTTAGGGCTTAGAGGCTCTGCTGGGCTTCTTTGGGTTTAGAGGGTTTTAGGGTTTAGGGGTTTGGGTTTAGGCTTTAGGGTCTAGGTTTACCGGATTTGCAGGGTTCATTGGTTGCTGATACTGGCGGCCGGCGTTGTTATCGTGGTCGTCGCTGCGGTTGTTGTTGTGGTGGTTAGCTTTGCCGTGTCACCGGTGATGATGATGACGACGAGATATAAGCTGACGGTAAAAGTTGAGCATGGCTGCGAGCAGGAGTAGGAGAGTATGATCACGACGAAAATGTCGACCATGAAGGCGGGACTGGTAATAATGACCACGATGATGACAGTGATGATGGTGATGATGATGAGGAGGAGGAGGAGTGTGATGTTGATGACGATGATGACCAGACGGGAAGGAATATCATGGTGACAAAGATGCTGAAATTGGTAGTGACGATATTGTTCATATTCCAGCCCTGACTTTTGCCTATGTTGGCCATTGGTGCTCATATCTTCCCCAAGTGTTTCTGTAACAGGCTCCAATCCGCATCCCACAGAAAGGCTTTCCGGAAGCATCCCGGCCGGGCTTCCAAGGTGACGCTCACGGACCGCGAGGAAACGATATCCTTGACCGTGTCTCAGACCTTGGGATTTCTCAGGGTTCCGGGCTGTTCTTTCTTGAACAAGTATAAACGTAAGGAGTTTGTAACCATGCTGAATCATGCTGTTGTCTTGGGTCTGAGGGGCCCCTTTTGGTCTTCTACAAGAAAACCCCAAGACCCTGTTGAAATTATTCAGGCCCCTGTGCCAGAGAGAGCCAGGGGTGTAGCCTGTTTTTTTACGTAGGTGTTCGGGCCTTGCCAGTCCGGTCTTCAGCAGCCCGAACATGCAACCCCCCCGCCCCCCACCCCGAACTCAGCTCTCGCTGATCCACAAAGTCTAAGAGCCTTAAAAGCCCTAAGCCGCCCTAACCCTCAAAGCCTTAGAGCCCTAAAAAGTTGACCCCAACGACCTGAAAGTGCTTATGCCCTAAACCCTCCAAGCCTCAAGGCCCTACACCTCTATAGCCCAAAACCTTAAACCCTAGCAGACTTAAGGCCCTAAGGCCCTAAACCCTAAACCCCAGCAACTTTAAGGCAGTCGAAAGGCCAAAGCCTTCCAGTCACATCTCCACGATGCGTAACATGGCTCAGGCTGGAGCGAAACACGGCAGACTTCATCCAGGACCCATACTACAGGGGTCTGAATTACCAGCGGTATCCCTCAGGGTTCGTTCCTTAATGGAATATTTCACAAACCCCACTCTAGTTCTTAAGGCCCCTGCATCACACGATTTAGGACATAGCGCCGAGCGTTGACTGTTAGGGTTTAAGGTTGGGCTTTGGAGTTTAAGATAGTAGCGATGTAGGTTAGTATTGTTGAGAGAATATAGGTACGAATTACTTGGACCCATCTGTATGCAGCTGTCGTTCTTCGGACCGATTTCCGAGAACGCGGTTCAGATTGCAAACGCGTTCGACTAGATGCGAGCTGGCATCCATGAGAGGTTGGGATGCAAAGGGGTGTTGTAGTCAAGAATGGACCGCAAATCAGTGGTTCTGGTTTTCGCTTGTGTTTTTCGAGTCCAGTTGAGACCCCTCCAAAGATTCCGGAAACCAGTCCATATGCCCCTTGTAGCTCGAGATACATTCCTATGTCATATCCCATTAGCAAGGGGTTACTGGATTTTATGCTAGGCCAGAAAGCCCAACACTCGACTCAGGCGGCAGTGTTTAGGGGGGTTAGGACTTCGAGTTTCGGTTGCTTAGGCCTGGGGTTAGGGATTCAGGGTTGCTGCGCTGCACTCCTAAACCCTAAACCCGAAAGCCCTAAACCCCCAATTAGGTGCCTGGCCCGAACAGCAACACCCCCACACACAAAAATAGGGGTTTCCGAAAATAGGGGACCCTAATATAGTACCCTAAATAGTAGGACCCTTATTATAAGGACCCCCAAATAAGGTACCCGAATTTTCTGAAACTCCCAAATAGGTGCCAGGATGAAGAATTTCCATGTCAGAGTCCGGAGGAGCACTGCCAGAAGAGTTCATCCATATCCTCGAGGCCAGAAAGGACCTGGAGCCCAATGCAGCGGAGCTTTTGGAACAGGGTTTAGGATTTACTGTTTAGGGCTTAGGGTGACTTTTGGGTTTAGGGTTCAGATTCAGGGTTGCAGCTACTAGGTGTTTTAAGTTTTAGGGTTGTCTTTTCTTTTGTGTGTGTGGCTTCCCAGCAAGAGCGAGCAGCAGCCGAAAATCCTACACCTCAAACCCTAAACCCTAAACCCTAAACCCTAAACCCTAAACCCTAAACCCTAAACCCTAACCCTATACCCTAAACCCAAAACCCTAAACCCTAAACCCTAAACCCTAAACCTCAAACCCGAAGCCCGACTGACTGTTACCCGGGAGGCCTCGTCGAAAAAATGGAAAGGCGCCGGCCCTCGGCACTGCGGGGATCCGAGAGGGTTTGGGCTTAGGGTTTAGGGTTTAGGGTTTAGGGTTTATAGGGTTTATGGGTTTAGGGTTTAGGTTTAGGGTTTAGGGGGGCTTTAGGCCTCTTGGACATTCTAGCCATTATTTAGGCAGTTTCTGGCTTTTGGGTTCAAGATGCTTTAGTTTGTGTTTCCCAAAGGGTCCGGATACCGAAAGTTTCGGGTATGAGAATCGCGCATATGTATGTCGTATAGGCTACATGCTTGGAGTTTGGTATTTCGGGTTCTGGCCACCTAGGGCCTAGGGCTTAGTATGCACGGTTCAAGATCGGAGATGGGAGTTGCAGTGTTGTGTTGTACTCCCCCTCTTCTTGGGGAAGCCATGATGTCGGTGTTCGATAGATCCATTTTTGAGAAATCTATTCGTGTACGGAGGCTTCAGGTGATGCGGAGTTTGAGTTGGAGAGTAAGGTTCTCCCATACATAGGCCCCATAGTAGTTCCTTTTTGGGATTACCTTATAGGATTCTACATATGAACCCTAACAAGGAACTAAAAGCAACTATTATGGGGCCTATGGGTAGAGCCCAAGGGCCGCCTAGGTTTGAGACTCGATAATTTCAGTCTGATTCAGAAGCCTAAGGGTTTCATAGGCTCTCAGCGATGCTAGAGGGTGCTGCGCGGAGTGTTGTATGTAACGGATATGGGGTCATATTGTTAAGGTGTCGAGACAATTTACGACCAAGAAGGCAGCAGCAACTGTTTGCATGGATGCCCATCCCTTGCTGAGATCGAGCTACGTAAACAAGAATAATAGAGTGCGAAGCCGATTTTTGTTAACCCCAAATCTTCTAAGCCAACTGGCTAGTTCGAGTATGAACACTGTTAAACTTACTTTGGATGATACACAGCAAGTACAAAGCAACCCACAGACAGCCCTAAACCCGAAAACACCCTAAATCCTAACCCGCCAGAGCCTTAAACATCCCTAAACCCCAAACCCCTAAACAGTTAAACCCCTAAACCCTAAACATCCCTAAACCATTATAAACCCAAATTTCCAAACCTTATAAACCCAAATTTCCAAACCCTTATAAACCTAAATTTCCAAACCTTATAAGCCCAAATTTCCAAACCTTATAAAACCGAAACCCTTAAACCACTAAACCCTAAACATCCCTGAACCATTATAAACCCAAATTTCCGAAGCCCTACCTTAAACCCTAAACCCTAAACCCCAAACCCTAAACCCTAAACCCTAAACCCTAAACCCTAGACCCTAAACCCTAGACCCCAGACCCTAGACCCTAGACACTAGACCCTAGACCCTAGACCCTAGACCCTAAACCTTAAACCCTAAACCCTAAACCCTGAACCCCTGAACCCCTGAACCTTAAAAACTAACCCCGCAGCCCGACAACCCAAGGCGCCCAGGTGACCTCGCCCTTG